TTAGGCATTTGCCATGTTCTCAGGGTCCCAGTTTTGACGCTAGGTTTTGCGGTGGTACGTACGTGGCATCCTGAAAATAACCAGAGCAAATATTAGTATCCATATCAACGTATTGCTAGAATTCTAAAAATGTATAGGGTAAAATGATCCCCGGAAGTAATCGTTGTACCCCAAAAGCAAATATTCTACAAAACCTAACCTACAAATTTAAGACAATAAAATGCTGCGCAAAGCAGCACAAATGTAAGTAGCCTAAACTTACCTGATTTTGAACCCTGTTCATAAATTATCGAATTGAATACCACTTTATCAATGCGGCGAAAATTCCCCGAAATAACATCGAAAATCGGAAAATCAATATTACACGTGTAAATGGCGCTAAAATGAGTCTAACTGTCCACAGATTGTTGTCGGTCACTGCGTTTAGCACATACTTTGATTTTCTCCTACTATACGGAGAATGGTCGCACTGCGCAGCTTTCTGAGTGATTTTTAGAAGGAGATAGAAAACTCTGCCATTTTGATGCCTTATTACGTGTTGCCTACATCTTGGCGCAATATTTTTAATATTTTGCTTGCTGCTGTCAGTGTCAGTGAATATTATTTTTCGAGTCATAGTTTATTGCTAAAGAATCAGTTAGTTCACTCGGACCAGTTGAATGTTCCAAAATAACATCCACTCCAGGGATACAAATTCAGGATGCGCAGAAGACTGCTGTTTTATTATAAGCGGTTGTCATCACTGATCTGTATTATTTTACTGGATAGGATATAGGCTATATTTAACAAACTAAAAAACCGTTCCACCAAGGAGACCGGAAGTGCAACAATGCTGGCCGATTTGGGCAAATTATGGTGGGTTCACAGAACTGACATTTGGGATAATTTGACATACCTAACCTATAATTTGATTAGTTTTTCTTCTTATTCTTCTTCTATTCCTTTTGCGGGCGATGTCCTTCGGGAAAATTCACCCATGATTTGATTTTTTATGAAAGAAAATATAAAAATGGAAACGTGAAGCATATTGTGTCTTCAGGAATGAACGTTTATTGTTTATTTCATACTCTTTTTACTTTGTTTTCCACAATAAAAACATCTCATCGTAGCTTGTTGACACAATTAAATGACAAATGTGATGACAAATGGAAATAGAGGTTACGTTAAATAACATCCGGTCCGCCATATTATTTGCCCAAATCGGCCAATTTTTCGGAACGTTTTTTAGGGGTCTATATCCTATTTAGTAAAATAATACAGATCAGTGGTTGTCAGATCAAAAGTGCCGATGCAGAGTGAGCGAACTGATTCTTTAGCTATGAACTGTGGTAAAGGCATCAAAATAATTTTATACCATTGATAAGGCAACGTAAGGATACGTCATATGTATTATTTTTGATATTCAAAAGTGGGACCGGTAGGCGTGGCTTTTGCACTCACTAAAATGGCGGAAGAGCAGAACCGAATTTACAAGTTTTTATTGTACTATTTCTGGTTAAGTATCATTATTTGAATTATAAAAAAAATATTTTCCTTTTTATTGACATTGACTTAAAAGCTGGTGGAAGGCCGAGGTTATAAAAGAAGGGGATTTAAAAGCTTAAATATGCCCGGTTTTCAGCCTAGAGGTGCTGAATAAAATAAATGAAAGAAATAAAATATAACTGATTTAATTATCACTCAAGTGGCTATTAAGCGCTGGAGAATATATTATTTGCAAAATTGCAACTAATCAATGACCATGATATAACTAACTTGGGGCCGATTCTACCATTGGGTTTAACGAAGTTTAAAATGACATTTTTACATTAAATGTAATTTTATTCTTCAATTAATAGTTTAAACTTTAACACAATGGTAAAATTAACCCTAAAGCGTTGAAATCATTCACAGAAAAAATAAATAGTACATTTTTGATTCACATAAGCGACAAAAGTAAACAGAGTTCGATTTATTGGATCAGTCGTCACACGTTTGCACTAGGGCACATAAATAGCTCAATCTTTAGTTTTTCGTTTTTCTATGAGCCCAATGCTTTCTGTCTTTAAATCGGAAAGTACAAGGTCGCAAATCTAACCTTACTTTAATTAACAGCTTTCTCGAAATTAAGAACAAATGTTCATACACTAAAAGCTCGATAATCAGATACGAAACTTAATGCAAGGCTCGCGGAAAATGGCTAATAAGCAATCTCTATGTAGGTAGATGCACTATTCAGGAATTCAAAATGTGGATTAATCTTACTTGGTCTTGGTACTTTTGTAGATTCAGACTGAAAGGTGTATATCTTTATGCAAGACATTCAGTAAATCAGCGAAGCCACGGGCTTCTCATCATCTGCTGAGATTATGGCTACTTATGTAAAAGCACACCGTAGTAACACACAACATAACTACTAAATTCTGTGGGAGAGATATGTTAAGTCGATTAGCAGATATTATCACTCTAGGAATAAAAGAATGAGAAGCATAATCTTAATGCGTTGTTCGATATTAATTTATTCTTGAGGACTTTCCCATACAGCACAAACACATTTCGGAAATATTTCAAAAATATTACATTGACACATTTGTAATGTATAAATATTACGAAACATCCCAGAAACATTTCTGAAATGTGCCTGAAACGTAAAAATGTCCAGTAAATATAATATTTCACAGTAATATTTCTGAAATAAAATTTTTAAATCTTTTAGAGATATTAAATAGTAATATTTCAGAAATGTATTCTAGCTTTTTTCTCTAAAATATTATTAGACTAAAAAAAAGACATTTATAAATATACATGTCTATTTAAAATACACAAAACTCAAATATTGATTCTTAAAACATTATTTCATAAAATATAAAAGGGAATCACTTCATTTCCACAAAGTCCTTTAAATGCACTAATCTGAAACACAAATATTTTTTTTTTAATAAATGCCCCAAGTAAAGAAACATTTACGATTGTTACAATCTAATCATTAAGATCAATTAGAAATTTTATTCTAACTTATCAAGGGATGAAAAACTTCACAAACTGATATTCTACTCTCTAGTATACCTTAGAGTCTAAATCACTTAACTGCACTATACTATGCTTTAACGTCACTGAACTAACTCAAAAGGCTTGGTCTCTTGAATCGTCTTATTAGATTTGGCATTGTTGAGGAGCTGGATAATCTCGAGGTTTCCATGCTGGAGCAGTTGTTAGTGACTACTGGCAAATTTTTGTATTGTATTTTCAACAGTCTCCACTTTAAGGTCCATATGAAGATCAGTATTGTGGCAGTACCAGGGTGCATTGACGATGTAGACGATGCTTTATTCTGGAAACGTTGAATAACTTTGATGTCACTTTTCTGACACATCCCCAAAGTTGGCGAATCGCTTCATTTTCACCAATTCCTTTAAACGCCCTAATCTGAAACAAATTATAGGTAATTAAAAAGGTATATTAATATTGTTTTAAATTAACTATAATAAAACAAACAATACTCATGCATACACAAAACATGAAGTTCTACTTTTCAATCAGCTGTAGATATAAATAAAATTGGTGGAAGGACAGCAAATGTAGGTTACATTTAAATAGAAATAAGAACATAAAATGCCTATAAATTAAATTTGATAAACGAAATGGCGTACGATTAATGTACTTCTCAAGAAAATGCTTGAAACATATACTGCTGAGAAAAGAATCGAAAGTATTTAAAGTGTGTAGGTAGAGTTTTATTATTAATAATAAAACTCTACCTACACACTTTAAATACTTTCGGTTCTTTTCTTATTACCCAGTGTGTACACACCACTCAACCTCTTCATATACTGCTGAATTTAGAAGGTTACCAATTATACTTGTTGACAAACTGTATCCACGCGCTACTTTTTATAGGATTTTTTGGAAATCTATAAATATTATTTCGTATGAAAAAGTATTATTCCAATATAGGTAGGCCCAAAAGTTGATAAATGATTTTTTTGCATTTTTAAAAGCATACTTTTACACATTTTATACAAACCTGTCATAATACTGTCCTGTATAATATTTATAATTTTGATACTAACCTATGAAACGTTATTCCAGTCGATTTTTCACAAAAATGTCTATCGCTAGAGCAGAAACGTATAACACAGCAAGGCATTATATACTTTATAAGTTTGTAATACTCAAAATTTGCTCAAACACAAATTAAATTCAAAATTAATTACACAAATGACACTAAAAATATAACCTATAAAATTTGACAATTTGCACTCACAGTAATGGCGGACCGGTTCCACTTTTCCCTTACGCATGTCGTATCCCTAGGTTGCCAGATCAATGTTTTATACTATTCAATCGAAAAGTGTCAAAATAACTTGAAAGTTCGTCCCGCATTACGTCATGCGCGGTTTGGACGAATTTTGAGTCGAAAGTCAGCATACCTTTAATATGTGTATCGTGATGCAACATCATGTATTTCATACATACAGTGTGGAACAGCCAAATGGAATAAATTTGACAATAAATAAATGAGGTCGTATTCCGAAAAATGCTCGGACACATCGATTGGTATTTTTAGTTGCGCATTTTTTTTACAAAAATTTTTTATACTTGGTGTGCCATGTAACAGTGGCCAATACCAACTTTCTTAGTTTAAATTCAACACTCTTATGGGGATATTGGCAACATCGCTAAAATCTCGCACAGGCGCTCTTAGTGTGACTGTCAAATCGAAAAAATTAAAAACAATATGGCTACGTGAGAATGTCGTGAATAAATGCATATTATTAATTTTTTAGCTTACAAATGTGTTTTAATAATATTTGTTGCTTTAATTAGGTTAGTGCACACTTATCGAAGATTAAAAAGTGTAAAAATATTATGGTTTTACTTAATCTTTATGGAAAAAGTGACAAAAATACTGTCCCTAATATCGACCGTAGCCCAGAAATTTAATTATTAATAACGAATTTAATATAGTAATGAAACATTAAAAAAAAATAAAAACATAATACAATCATTTACTTTTTCAGGATATACCAACATAGATCGTCAAGTTGGATTCGACATTCCTAGCACCAAACTAATTTTAAAATACCTTGCCCAATTACATGCTGTTACTTTAGCTCTAAAACAGGAGGACCCAAAACTTTTTGAATCGAAAGTAAAACCTTATTTGGCACATTTTTCGCCTAATATACCTAATGAAGCTAGTGAGAAAATAATAAGTTTCATAGAAGAATCAGAAAAATGCAGACATTTGGCACCAAAACTTCGAAAATCGTTTGACACAAGTGATGAGGATGAGAGTAGAGAAATATTAAACAAACGTTTTTATACATTGGTTCACAAAGACCTGTGGGTTAATAATATAATGTTAAAATTGAATAACGGTTCTCCAATAGATTGTAAATTTGTCGATTTTCAAGGGTACTCTTATGCTAGCCCAGCTACAGATGTTCTTTTTTTTCTATTCACAAGTGTAGAACTTGAAGCTTTACAAAATAACCTAGATGATTTACTAAAATTCTACCTTGAACAATTTAATTCAACTTTGAAAAGTTTAAATTCTCATCTTAGTTTAACTTACGATGGACTTATAAATGAAATTTGTGGTTCTACTCAAAGGGAACTCTCTCACGTTGTCTTTATGACCTTGGTCGTAATTCTTACACCACCGATGGGTGGTCCACCTCCATCTATCGATGGCATGAATGGACCTCCAGATCTTTCTAAGCTGGTCTTCAAAGAAAGTGCTGTTGAGAAAATTCTATGGGTGCTTGAAGAATGGGACAAGAGAGGTTGGATGAAATTTTAAATTGCAAGGAAATGAAAATAACAGATTGGAGGCAAGATTAATTTGTCGCCCATATTATTTAGTAATTTTTGGATTTTGTTTAAAGTTTAATCTATTAATTAAAAAGTTTGACAATTACAAATTAATTTAAAATCACTACACTGGTTGTCATTTTTAAAGCCTATTAATATTTTCAAATCAAATGAATTACATACATCTTTAAATTTTTATTTGGTGAAATATGGTAATATCAAGAAGTGAAATCTTCTTTTTCTAGCTTTTGGATTTTTCGACTATTTAAAACAAGTACCTATATTATTATAATGGTCATTAGTTATTAGCATATATTTCTGTATATGTGCAACCTTATGAATTTTAGCCTACCCTGATTTTTTTAAAATAGTAATAAGTTATACATTTGTAGAATCTAATATGAACCAAACCTCAGATCAAAGTTACTCAATAAACATTACTATTAGTTTTTAAGTAATTTTAGGTGCTATTGTTTATCTTTGATTTTTAAATATAACATTTTTACTCTGACATGCGATAGATGTCTTTCTCAGTCTTAAATTGTGAATATGGTGCTGAAACAAAAGTTATGATTGTTATGTTTTAAATTGTATGTATTACATGTAAATAAATAAATAAATTCAATGATTTATAACTTATTATACTCTTCACACAGTAGTCTGTAAAGAGTATTATGCATTGGCTTCGTCCGTCCGTCTGTCTGTCCATCCGGTGTCACAATTTTTGTCCGCATAATAAGATAAAAGAAAATGATATCAACATGAATCAAGCTCTATAAGAGGATGAAGCATATTGATTCTGAAAAATTCTAAATAAAAATGGGGGTTAAGGGGGGTTGAAATATTAAACAAATCCTAACTCAGAAACAAAAAACAATAACAAATTGAAATCTTCAGAAAAATTAAGCTTTAAAACGGGATAAAACCTATTGTTTTTGAAAAAATCCAAATAAAAATGGGTGTTAAGGGGGTTAAAATATTTAAAAAATCAAATCCTAACTCAAAAACAAAAAATGATATCAACTTAAAATTGTTAGCAAAAATCAAGCTCTATAGGAGGAAGAATTCCTTTGATATAAAAAAAAATCTTAATAAAAATGTGGGGGTTAAGCGGGGTTAAAATTAAAAAAAAAATAAAATCAAAAACGAAAAGTGATATCAACATGAAATTTTTAGTAAAAATCAAGCTCTATAAGAAGATAAAGTCTATTGATTCTGAAAAAATCTGAATTAAAATTGGGGGTCGAGGAGGTTTAAATATTGAAAAAAATCCTAACTCCAAAACAAAAAAATGATATTTACTTGAAATTTTTTGTAAAATTAAGCTCTATGAGAGAAAGAAGCCCTTTGATTTAAAAAAAATCTGATTAAAAATGTGCGTGTTAGAGGGGGTTGAAATTAAAAAAAAAATCATAAATCAAAAAACGAAAAGAGATATCAACATGAAATGTTTAGTAAAAATCAAGCTCTATACGAAAATGAAGCCTATTGATTCTGAAAAAATCTAAATTAAAATGAGGGGGTTGAAATATTAAAAAAGTCCCAACTCAAAAACAAAAAAATATCAACTTGAAATGTTTAGCGAAAATCAAACAAAGTTTATTGATTTAAAAAAAATTGTGAAGAAAATGGGGGGTTAAAATAAAAAAATAGAAATAAAATACCAAATGCGATATCAACATGTAATTTTTGATTCTGCAAGAAATCTAAATGAAAATGGGGGGACAAGGGGCTTGAAATATTGAAAAAAATCCCAACTCAGTAACAAAAAGCAATACCAAATTGAAATAAAGCCTATTTATTCTAAAAAAATCTGAATAAAACTGAGGGGCGAAAGGGGTTAAAATATTTAAAAAAATATTAATTCAAAAACGAAAAATAATAAAATATTTAGCAAAACTCAATCTCTATAAGAGGAAAAATCCCTTTAAATTTGGAAAAAATCCTAATAAAAATGGGAGGATTAAGGGGGAATTAAAATTAAAATCATAACTCAAAAACGAAAAATAATATCAAATTAAAATTTTTAGCAAAAATCAAGCTTTATAAGGGGACAAAACCAATTAATTTAAAAAAATTTGGAAACAAAATAGGGGGTTAAGGGAGGCTGAAATAAAAAAAAATAGAAATAAAAATGAAATTGTTAGCAAAATTCAACCTCTGTAAGAAGAAAAATCATTTTAAATTTAAAAAATTCGAATAGAAATGGGAGGTTTAGGTTAGGTTAGATTAGGTTGAAAATGAGTGGGATGATCTCATCACCTTCCACTGCAACCCAGATGGATCTATTGTGTCTCATGACTAACTTATAGTTTACCGTACAAGCCACACCTTTTGATAAAGGTCATGGTTGAATTGGGTGAGACTTCTTTAAAGTTACCAGTCGGGTAAATCCAAAGATCTGGAACCTGGTTCTTTCCAGAGTGGAGCAGGTACATAGAATGTGCTCTGCAGATTCGTCTTTTACGCTGCATAATCGACAGTCCGATGTCTGTTGCAGACCTATCCTTCTCATGTGGTTGCCCAGACAACAGTGTCCTGTCGTCAGTCCAGTAAAAATGCGTAGATCTTTCCTACTCAATTTTTGGATCCGAGCAGAAGCGTTCATAGATGGGTTGGTTATAAACGCCTTCGAATGGGTTAGCCCTGGGGTATCTCTCCAGTTCGTGAGTGTTGCATCCTCCGTCCATTTTGAGATAATTCCTTTGGCAGTGCTTTTTGCAATGCCCAGGAATGGTTCTGGTCCTATGAACACAGATTCGGTTCGTCTTTTAGCAAGTGCGTCGGCATTTTCGTTGCCCTCCACAACCCTGTGTCCGGGAATCCAGATCAAAGTAACTTTGTTCCGGGCACCGAGGCATTCTAGGGTATTTCTACAGTTCCAAACCAGCTTTGAGTCAACTCGATTGGAGCTCAGGGCCTTATCTAGGGTGATTCCCAGATATTTCACCTCCTACGCAAAAGGAATGGTTTCCTCAGCCAAGATAGGTTGTCGAAGCTTGTCGAGCTTTCTTCTCTTGGGGAGGAGACAATAACAGTTTTGCGGGGGTTAACAGACATCTGCTCCATCTCGCACCTCTTCGAACTTTCCCCTAATTATGATAACTAGATCGTCCGCATAGCATTGGAAATCCACTCCCTATCGGAAGAGATCGTCTAGCAGGTTATCCACCAGAATAGTCCACAGTAGGGGTGAAAGTACGCTGCCTTGTGGACATCCTCTGGCAGGTCTAAAAGTGAGATTTTCTCCCTACAGTGATGAAGTGATGTTTCGACTTGCCAGCATGCTTTTGATCCAATTACAAGTTAGTTTGTCGATTCTTCTTCTTTCAATAGAAGAGCACAAAGACTGAGGAAGGGCGTTGTTGAACGCGCCTTCTATATCTAGGAAGGCACCTAGCGCAATCTCCCCGTGATTTAGGGAATGGTTGACTTTGCCTACTAGATTGTGCAGGGCATGATCTGTCGATTTGCCTGCTTGGTAGGCATATTGGGAGAAGTTTAACGGGTTTGCCCGAAGGCCTCCTTCTCTAATATGCCTATCTAGAATGCTCTCTAGTGTTTTTAGAAGAAAGGTTGTTAGGCAGATTGGACGATAAGATTTTGGTAGGCAGGTATCTACTCTACCTGCCTTGTGTATATACACGACTTTCACCAACGTCTATCCTAGTGGAATATAACTTTATGCCAGGCTTGCTCTAAACAACCTCACAAGGAGGGGTAGCAGGAGTTCCTGTCATTTTTGTAAAAGGGCGGGAAACATGCCATCCTCTCCGGGTGATTTGAAGGGGGAGAATGAATTCAATGGGTCGTATAATCGATTCCGTTAAAGGAAGGGGTACATGTTGCCTGTCTTCCAGGATTCGACTGCCTGGGAAGTGTTTCTGTAAAAGAATCCCTGAAGTTTCCTTACCAGAGTCCATATAAGTGTTGTCGGGTCTTTTTATCGAGCCGACTTCCTGTCTCGGATCTTTGGCGAGAATCTTGTGAAGTCTGGTACTTGCAGGTAAATCTGATATATACTCTGACAGAATAGAGTGTTATGTCTAGAACTTCCGCACGATTTTTCATCACGAAAATTAGTTCCGAACCTACGTTGTTAACAATAAGCCCTTCACCGATTATATAATTATAAAGTTGCTCACCTCGTGTATTGATGTCGGTACTTCCTCAGTCTTTGTGGTGGGCGTTAGCGTCGCACCCAGTGACGAGCTGCTTGTTGTTCCTCTTGAAATAGGCAACTAGTTCTTGCACTATCGCTGAAGGAGGAGGTTGGTCTTGACCTGAGTCTCTCGGGAAGTAAGCAGAGCAGACTACTACATCCTTGCTGTTGTTCCCCACCGGGATCGAGACCTGGACTGCAACCACATCGGGGGTGTAGCAACCTGTTAACATAATTTTTTTTATATTATTTCTATTAAGAAGGTATGCTCTTGGTTTGTCCGGAGAGTTACCGGCTACCAACTTACCCGAACAGTTTCCAAGGCCGCTTACCCGGCCGTTGCTAGCAGCTACGCACAAAAGCTCCCTTTCCAGGAAGATTTTTTCAACTAAAATTTAATATTTTAACCATAGGTAGGTATTTTACAATATTATTTACTGTACCTCGAGCATTTTATCCATTTTTTTCGTAAAGTTTCATCTTTCTGAAAACGAAAAAATTTACAATCCTCCCTATTATTGTAGTGGCTGCATCCATAGGCCCAGAACATTTCTGTATTAAATATATATTTATGTATATTCAGAATTATAATAAGTATTATAAAGTCACAACACTTTTGAGTTTATGTTTGTAACATAAAATCTCAAATTTTTAACAATTTATTCACACAAGAAATCTACATACAAGTATATACAATATTTTAACATATGAAAATCGTTCCAAAAACACTGCTTTAACCTTGAATAGCAGCTTTAAGTAAAATTGCAATGCTAAACAAATATACATCAAAGCTTGTTTGGATACAGTCATTGACCTACCTCAAAATGACGTCAGAAAAATGTGACGTATTGTTTTAGTTGTCAAAATCAGTACGTATTAAATTTTTGTAGATAGCTAAACTTCGATAATTAGGCATTCCAAACTGAATGGCTACCAGTGGGTTTTGACGGGTTATGATATGAAAAAATTATGGCAACCCTGTAGGCCTGGTGATTTGACAAGGTCAATGAAATAGATAGTTACATAAATTGATCATCCATATTTTTAAAAATAAACATAAGCTTATGCCTTGAAGTAAAAATGTAAGCAATTATTTTTTTTAAATATCTAAAGGCTAAAAATTGGTTTTAAAACACATTTTTGCTAAAACGGTTCAAATTAATAAATATTTTCCAGGCAATATGGCCGCTCGTAAACGATCAGCTTTGAGCAATCTATATAACTATATATGTATCATTGACCCTGTTAATCACAACATGACAACAGGGTTGTCATATCTAAACTGTCATTACCCACTGGTAGCCATTTGGACAGGTCGTTGGAATGCCTAATTATATTATCAAAATGTCTCAATATAGAAGACTTACCTTCGACCCCACATATCAGAGAAAGCAGAAAATGCAGTACAAAATATTTTGCCCCAAAATTCTATGGTATTACCAATACCCCTTGATAATAC